AACAAAGAAGATGACATAGATGTCAAGATCTAAATATAGAACATAGAACAATAGAGTTGGAAGGGACCTCGGAGGTCTTCTAGTCCATCCCCCTGCTCAAGCAGGAAACCCTATATCATTTCAGACAAATGGTTGTCAGGCAGAATAGAATAGAATTCTTTTATTGGCCAAGTGTGATTGGACACACAAGGAATTTGTCTTGGTGCATACGCACCAAGTGTGGTATTAAGTGGTATTCACTCTGAAACTGCCTGAGAATATGACTCCAGTACTCTTGTGCAGGTCCATACATATATAAATCAGCTTATATATAAAGCTGCCCCATATCAGCCTTTCACCAATAGGTGAAAAACAATAGTTCCCTTATCAAGGTGCAGACTCCTATTGATTTTTGTCCTGCATCCTTCTATAGAGTGTGACGGTTTAGATAGCACTGAAGGCATACCTCACAGCTTTGTAAAAGTGGTAGAGCAGTCTCCTATGCTTTGAGAATGCATTTGGCATACCAACACTATCCAACTCTTTCAAGGAGAAGAGAATGGGGGTGGACATCATCCACAAACTAGAGGTGAGAGGATACGTCTGCATCAGCCTGAAAGTTAACTAATCCTACTTGCTACAAGTCATTTGATCTGGACACTGATGGCATGGTTGATAAAACACATACAATTTTATAGGCCTTGCAACTGTCACTGAAGAGCAATAGCACTTAAACTTATATACCGCTCCATAGTGCTCTACAGCGCTCTCTGAACGGTTTTTACAGAGTCAGCATATTGCCCCCAACAATCTGGGTCCTCATTTTACCAACCTCAGAAGGATGGAAGGCTGAGTCAATCTTGAGCCAGTCAGGATCAAACTCCTGGCAGTGGGCAGAGTTAGCCTGCAATTTTGCATTCTAACCACCGTGCCACCATGACTCATGCTGTTAAGTTTAAGAGGGAAAACAGTACTTTGACATTAGTACAGCTAAGGATGTTTTAGGGGAATTTTCTTCTCTGGTTGAAAGGAGTGTCATGGGAACAAACCATAAAAATGATGTACCAGGCAGTTTTGTACCATGGCTGGCAGGGTGACAGATTTGTCTGTCAGAGTATGTTTGAGAACAGGAAAGCATTATGTTATCCTGCATATCTTTGCAGCCATTCAGTAGTTATTGGATTTATGCAGTCCAGATATAGTAGCCTTAATGGTTAGCTACAAGTGAAGAGAGTCTATAACCGTGATGGTGAACCTATGGCATGGGTGCCACAAGTGGCACGCGGAGCCATATTGGTGGGCATGCAAGTGTTGCCCTAGCTCAGCTCCAGCACACATGCACGCACTGGCCAACTGATTTTCAGGCCTTCCGGTCCCACCGGAAGTCGGGAAACTGGGGGTGGGGAAGGCTGTTTTTGCCCTCCCCAGGCTTCTAGAAAGCCTCTGGAGCCTGGGGAGGGGGAAAAACGGGCCTACAGGGTCCACTGTGCCATCGTGTGCCAAAAGCAGGGGGAAGTGTGGGGGGGTCACATGCACATGCGCAGGAGGGCGGGGCGCATTGAATTATGGATGTGGACACACGCACCTGTGACCCCCCCACTCCCCCCACTTTTGGCACGCAATGGCAAAAAGGTTAGCCATCACTGGTCTATAAGCACAATTAAAGGTAGTTGTGGGGGGTTGTCCTTTAGGAAGGCCCTTAATACAGAAAGCCGAAGGTTACCTCCACATGGAAGTATAGTATTAAGGAGGGACTATTACCATAAACAAATCAGATGACTATTTCATTTCCTTTTTCTTAAAACAGCAGACAAACCACTCCTTCCCCAAATTATCTTCCCACAGTCAAAATAATCTAGTGCAACAAGACCTTGAGGAAACACATCTGGTGTGGTTAAATATGATGCTTTAGTGTTGACACAGCTGTGATCCTTGAAAGAACCAAACATTCTACTTTTTTCATCACACTCTTTATTCAATTATTGTGCATAAGCAATAATCAAGGCAGGGTCCAAAATAAATATATTAGCTTCTCTTCAGCAACATATATTCAGCATATAGGAATCTAGCTGGAAGAAACTCAGAGTTCTGGTATTCATCTCCAATACCTTTGCTAAACACGACTGTGCTTCTGATCTCTGGAGCATCAGTGTTCTAGTAACCTCTTCCTGAAATGGTCAAATGTTGAATATTTTTACATTTTTCCAAAAATAAATCCATCCTACAATTTATACAATACAACTATTGCAATGGGTGCACTCTAACCAAACAATTATAATTTACTTAATTCACTTAATAGGCTTTTTGGGAAATTCATTTTTTTAAATCTGATATTGCGGTAAATAATTTAGCAGGTTGTCTTTAGGAAAGCATAAGTGCTGTTACTTCTTGATCATAGTAAAGATATGCCTTGTTTGGCAGAGGATTAATTCTTCAAACATTATACAGTTACAATTGTTCTTTTGTTCTCATATCAGATGAAAGAAGCTTGTGTGTGTTAATAGCTTGTTAGAAAAACAATGCTCAGTAATGTATAAAATTTCAGTAATTTAAGAATTCATAAACAATTAGGACTACCATATGTAGTCTACAAAAAATCCAGATCATCACTAGATAAAAAAGATCCAGATTTTTGGGTAAAGGTAAATCATAGTTATCTCAGAACTCCTAACTATAGAAATGTTAGACATTACAAAATCCAGCAAACACTAGAGGTTAAACAGGTACAAAGAGGTACAGAAAACTTTGCCATTGTCTGATGGTCATCCAGATTTTGTATTTTTATATATATAGTAACCCTACATTTTAACTATGACCAAAAATGTTTTTGCACTAATGAATACAAGCATGCCAACTCTGTCCATTCTTTGAAATGAGTCTTCAACTTATAACCTTTCATTTAGTGACCGTTTGAAGTTACAATGAAAAAAGTGACTTATGACCATTTTTCATACTTATGACCATTGCAGCATTCCCATGGTTACGTGGTCAAATTCAAACTCTTGGCAACTGGCTCATTGATGATGGTTTCAGTGTCCCATGGTCATGTGATCATCTGTTGTGACCTTCTGACAAGCAGAATCAATAGGGAAGCCAGGTCCACTTAACAAATGTGTTACTACAGAATCTAGTGTTGCCGCTGGTCTTTCCCCCCTGCCATCCCATTCCCAGCTCTCTTCCAAAAAAGTTCTCTAGATCTTGGACGTAAACATTTCCAAAAGCCTAAGATGCAGCAAGTTCCAGCTCCTCTAGGAGAGAATTCTTCACATCCATCTTTCTCCTTTGGAAGGAAGTCACCCTCTAATCTGAAACTACTACCCTGAGCACAGCTCAGTTCTAAGGAGTGTAGGCCACAGAGAATGCAAACATAATTAATGGCTGGGAAAGACATGCCTATCTGGAAAAAAAATATATCCTTGAGAGTATTGGTTTCCTCAGTACCGTAAATATTTTCTTGTCAGTATACAGTAATTTTGGCAGATGACCCATAATTAAACCTTGGTGGTTTGAAGAGTTCAGGAATGAGCCTTTAATTTCAGATTAATAAAATTATCTGATTTCTCTGGCTTATCCAGCCATTTTCCTCATCAGGAACTACAAAAATCTGTACAATAATTGAAAGGCAGCACAGTTAGGGTTTTCTCTAGTGTTTTACTTCTATTTTGTGATTATCCTGGATTAAGCAGTTTTAGACCTGGTAGCCTAGTTTTGCCATTCCAAATTTTGGATTTTTCTTCTTAACAGACATGATTCTGCCCCAATTCCTTCAGATTTAGCATCTAGATTTCTAGCATCTGTCACCTGGGGTGGTTTCCTCATGCAGAGGCACCCCACAAAACGCACTAATTTGGAAATATATTCCACTTCTTTTGAATTGGCTTTTCTTGTTTGATTGTAGACTAGCAGGGTATAGTTCAGTGATGGCGAACCTTTTTGGTGTTGTGTGCCAAAAGTCCGAGCGCGCAAACCCTCGCGCGCTCTCGCGTGCCAGCACCCATAATGCAAGGGGCGCCCCATTTGCGCATGCGCACATGACCCACCCAATGCTCCTAATGCGCATGCGCCTCACACTGCACATGCGCACATGCAACCTCCACTGCGCATGTGTGCGCCCGCCACACATGCGCCCTCACTTTTTCCAAGAGGGCCGGCGCGCCTCTTACCAGAGGACAACCAGTTACCCATGCGAGACAGCTGTTCCCAAGCCGGCGGCAGCGCTCTCGGCCCTGCCTGACAACTCGCCAGTGCCCCATTCACCCATCCCAGCAGAGGCCTTTTGCCCATGCTGCTCTCCCAGTCAGAAGGGGCTGCGGAGAAACACGCAAGGAGGCTGCGGTTGCTGCCAGCCAGGCCCGCCCGCCTTCTCCGGTTGGCAGGCAGCTGAGGCTTGCAATGAATGGCGCAAGCAGGACTGCAGCTCCACCCCCAGGGCCAGATTTTCCTATAGGCTAATTAGGCTTCAGCCTAGGGCCTCAAGATCAAGAGGGGGCCTCAAGATCAAGAGGGGCCTACATTCAAATTGTTAGCAAAATTAAAATTACACTTTCACTATAGGTGAAAGGGCCTCATAAGTGGAATAGCCTAGGGCCTCTTTTCATCTAAATCCGGCCCTGTCCACCCCCAGGCTGTAAATGTGCCTTGCGGGAGCAGAGGCTCGGGAGAGTCGAACCCTCCTGCCTGCCTTATACTATACTATAGTTCTTCTGCAAAGAAGCAGAGACAGCTCAGCAGACGGACTTCTTAAAGCTGGCGGCAGGATCAGTGCCAGGACGAAGCCCTATACTAGAGAGGGAGAAGTTGGGTGGGGTTAGCATAGATTTGGTATTTCCCTCTGCTTTTGTAAATGTATCTGCTTGCAACTTTTCATTGTACTTTGATGGCATTGCCCTTTATATTATGTTTGCTTCCCTGAGAGCTTTATTTATAGGGTTGGTCCCATCGAATGAAAAAAAAAACCAGACTGTCTCCCTGTGTTTATACATGCACTTAGGAAAACTTGGCTGCCAGTTTTTGACTCACTAAAGTTGAACTGTTTATTCTTCCATACAACATAAATTTTAAAAAAGAAAGAAAGAAAGAAACAGGAAAGAGGGCAGATGAATGGTGGTCTTCTCAACTTCCTTTATATTCTTTGAATTGCATTCTTCCTCTGGTGAGGTCTTTTGGAGCTTTCTGTCAAAAGAAAAAAAAATAATGATGCAAGGGAAACAAAGGAAGGGACTGGGGTGAAGAGGTGAAATGGATATTCATTCATCTCCAGTTGCATAATATCAAAACTTTCTCACCCCCTCACCACCCCCGTTTAAATAAACACTAAATGCAGATAGCATTTTAAGAAGTAAAACTTGCAAGTGCTGAATAAGCAACAGGGTATTCTGTAGCTCATTTATTCACAGCAAGACAGAAAGCTTGAATTGAACATGCAATCATACTTACATTCAATGTTTAGTGTGTTAGTCCTTAAATAGTTACCCCCTAATGATGTGCACGTACAGCAAAGATAAAGCCTATAGAATCTAGACAGGGGTGGGATACTGTGTAAAAATCCCAGTCTTTGTACAACACTAATAAAGATCCCCTGCCAGAAATTAGCATTTCTTTCCAGTGAAGGGGGAAATTTCAGGGAGGTCTAGCATAGGCTGAAAAATTAGCCCTTTATTTTTTTACTAGGAATGAATCTTGTGTTTGGAAATGGACAGACTGTACAGGTGGTCCTCGACCTACAACCACAATTGAGCCCAAAATTTCTGTTGTTAAGTGAAAGATTGGTGAGTTTTGCCCCATTATACAAGGTTGCTTGCCACAGTTGTTAAGTGAATCACTGCACTTGGTTAGTTGGTAACACGGTTGTTAAGTGAATCTGGCTTCCCCCATTGACTTTGCTTGTCAGGAGGTTGCAAAAGGTGATCACATGACCCCTGGGACATGTCATAAGTATGAACCAGTTGCCAAGCATCTGAATTTTGATCACATGATTGTGGGGATGCTACAAAAGTTGTAATTGAAAAATGGTCATAAGTCACTTTTTTCAGTGCCACTGTAACTTTGAACGGTCACTAAATGAACTGTTGTAAGTCGAGGACTACCTGTATTATATTTGTTTGTTTCAAATTCCTATATCTCCTATGACATCTGTGTACCTCTGGGTGGTTTACAGATAAAATGATATAAAAGCTAAAGTTAAAAATCAGGTTAAAACAACGTTAAAATGAACAATTGCAAAGTTAAAAGGCAGAGGAAGTGCCTTCAGCCAGTGGTGAAATGTAAAATTTGTTAGTACCAGTTCTGTGGGTGTGGCTTGGTGGTGGTGGGTAATATGACTGAGTGGGCATGGCCAACTTTTTTTTTTTAAAACTTTTAAAACCATTTTTTTCTACAACCTCTTCGGCTGAAGAGGTTGTAAAAAAATGCTTTTAAAGCCTCTGACAATCCCAGCTGACTTGGCTGATCGGCAGAGGCTGTTTTTCCTTTTAAAAACATTTTTTTCTATAACCTCTTCGGCCGAAGAGGTTATAGAAAAAATGCTTTTAAAAGCCTCTGATGATCCCAGCTCTGCGGTCATCAGAGGCTTTTTTTTTAACTTTTAAAAGCACTTTTTCAGCCAAAGAGGTTGTAGAAAAAAATGCTTTTAAAAATAAAAAAAAAAAGCCTCGGATGATTGTGTGGCTCAGCTGGGCAATGGGGGGGGCAGGGATTTTTGCTACCGGTTCTCCGAACCACCCACCTCTGGACTTGACTGTCTGGGCTTCTTTCAATTCAGGACTAGCATGTTTATTTATTTATTTATTTATTTATTGGTTCGATTTATATTCTCCGGAGACTCAGGGTGGCTTACAATGCGTTAAGCAATAGTCTTCATACTTTTGTATATACCTGCTTAGTAGGGCTTTCGCCCCTCCCCCAAGAGATGTTCTTTTTTATACAAAGTCAGCTTATTGCCTCCACAATCCGGGTCCTCATTTTACCTACCTCAAAAGGATGGAAGGCTGAGTCAACCTTGAGCCTGGTGAGATTTGAACTTGCAGTAATTGCAGGCAGCTGGTGCTACTTAACAGCACTTTAGTCTGCTGCGCCACCAAGACTCTTTTCAAATAAGCTACAGTAAGGCAAAGTGGCAGGAAGCAATAAAATATTTTATGGCTTGCTTACAGTACTTCCTTTTCTGTCATCAAAAACCCCATGTATATAGATTTCAGAAAGCTTCCTGGAGAATATATGTAATCCAAGAGGATAGGGTTGATTCTACTTATGCTTTAACTGACTGTATCACTCACTAACGTGCTAGATGTCTCCTCCTGAATAATCCCTTATGTAATCCCTCTTGCTTCCATTTTTGCCTTTTCCATGAGTCAGATGACACGATGATTTATTTTCTGATCGACTTGAGTCTCCTGCCTTGCTTTCCCAGAGTATTGTTTGCTTGTATATTTGTCTATAGTACTGTGCCTGTTTTGATTGCTAAATAACTCTGTGGGGGAGGCGTATAAGAGACTTGCTTTGCAGATGGGTTTGAATCACTCAGTTGCGCAATTCTATCATTAAGAGTTTAGCTTTAATTTCAAACCACCAAACATTTCAAGCAGCAGCTACAGATATGGGAACAGCTCCCCACATTATTACTCTACTTTTGTGGGAAATGTTTTTTTGTGTGGGAAGTGGTGCTGATGAAGTGCACCAGTTCTGAGTATGAGAGATTTTTTAAAAAAACCAGATTAAGGATTAATTTTTACTATTATGATTTCAAGGTAGTAGAAACCCGCATTAACCCTCTTGCATAGAGCAAGTAACTCAAATATAGGGTTGGTTAGATTATGCTTTTACTTTGATTCTGAAAAAAAAACAGCTAAAGAACTGCAAATGCTTTGTGTTTTGCCAGTTGCCTTACATCTCTGACTCTTTGGCTGAGCATGTTATGTGTTGATGTGTTGTAATTACTGGAATGGATGATTGTGTCTCTTATCTTTATTGTCTTATGGAGGCATTATACTTCTGATCTCACAGTAGAAATCAAATTCTTTTTCTTTAAGGAAAAGAATTTTCTTCATTTATTAATTTTACTATGTACCGTATAGATTTTCCATAAGAAAAGTCTAAAACAGCTCACAGCAGAAATAAGATTTTTTTAAAAAGAAACATTATACTAGTGCAGATAAATGATAACAGAAAGAATAAGCCATTCAAAGCTAAGGTAAATGAAAAGACCAGGGAAGATAGGGTATATTAGAAAGACATGCAGGTCAGTAGTGGGTTTCAAAATCCGTCACTACCGGTTCGCTCGTGGGCACACTCACACACGATGCTTCTGTGCATGCGCAGAAGCATCCGGGTGGGTGGGCAGAGCCTCCCGCCGCCACCACTACCGGTTCGCTAGATCCATGGCGAACCGGTAGCAACCCACCACTGATGTAAGTGGTTTCCAAATTAGCATATCTCCAGAATTAAATAGCCTGGACTCCATCTCCCAAAAGCTGTTTCTTTTTATCAATACATTATGCTGTTTATCAGCAGTTCTTTAGCTTCCAGAGATTGCTGGGCCTAGATAAGTATATAGGAAGAAAAATGATTCTGCAGCTATTCAGCCCATAATTATGATGGCCAGCTTGAAGTGGACCCAGAAATATGTAGTGGGGTGAAGTCAGATTTTCTATTAAATATTGTCTTTCTGCCTTATTTCTGGACTATTTTCATGTCCAGAACTTGAGCAGAATTATCTTTTCTGTTGTTCTTAGACAGCATCTTGGCAGAACTGGACTCAAAGGAATTTGAATAGCTACCGGTATTTCTATTGCATGTGTATGGAAATCTTTCTTCAGTTCTGAATGGGACAAAATTGGGCCTACACAGTAAAAACAGAATAGGTTAGCTATTTGAGAAGGGAATGAGAGAAATCTGTAATGTCAGATGTAAATGCCTTATTCTATAATGTGTAAATAGTATATGAATAGGATATCAGGGGTTAACTTATCCTTCTATTCTTAATGTATTCATATTTCACCACTCCCTCATATAGCTCCACCCACTGTATATATAAGGAGCCACCTTCACCCTTTTCCTTGCTTCTATCTGTGAATATTCAGTGAATATAGAATGCCTATTGTAAATAAAAGGAAGTATATTTAAACCTTTAACTCTTACTATTATTATTGAGTCTGATCCTAAAAATATTGCAACAAGCTGGTAGCAGAGGATGGTTAATTGACTCAATAAAAACTTAAAAATGTCTAAGAAAGATAGGCCCAACACCAGGGTCTACAGCAAAGAAATAGAAACAGAACAAGAAATAATCAACGAATCCACAAACGCAATTTCGAGAGAATCCGAAGAATACATCACTGAAGACGAAGAAATAAGAGATGAAAATGATGACCAGGAAGAAATCGAAATAGAGAATAACGAACTCAGGTCAGAGATATTAAAACTATTAAAAAGCCAGAAGAATGATGAAAGCCTCATCGCGAACCTCCAAGAAATGCTAAAGAACAGCGGAGCAGCGAGAGAGAAAAACATCACTAATGAGAAATCTAAAGACACAAAAATAGTGAGTAATACGACTGCAGAGAAAGTCATTACGAAGAAGAAAAAATGTGCTCCGGCGCGAAATTTTGAATGGCAGCCATCTTGGTTTCAACAGACCTCCGAGATGAGCGAAGCAGAGCCAATCAAAATGCTCAGTTCAAAATTTCTGGCGCGAAAAACGTTATCAGACAACGAAAATGAAAAAGAGGATTCAAACTCATCGGAAGAGTCAGAAACAGAAAGTGAAGATGACCCAACAAGATCCCAAGTAAAGTCAGCAATGAAGACGCTTTTTGCTGCATTTGGGCCAAAACTAAAAATTACCAAAGAGCCACCGAAGAAGCGAGCGAGCAAGCCGACGCCTCAAGACCTGCCCGCTCCCATCCTGACTTCGAGAGCGACGACGCCCGAACCCAGAGAGCCTTGTCGATTCCGTCCTACACCACAGACCGAAGCAAGTGCCAACGCCCCCAAAAGAAAAAGAAGAGCAGCCGCCGTCGTCAGAACTCCCAAGGCCGAACCAGAGACCGACTCGTCTGAAGAGGAGCGGAGCGAACGAGCCGCAATGGAGAGAACCTTCCACGACGACGCCGAAGAAGAAATGAACAACGCGCATGCGCGAAACTATGCAGACGGTCCGGGAAGACATGAACTGG